GATCATTTTTTAATATTGGACCTCTACATTTTCATGCTAGAAAATTTTAAAAAATTTAGAAAGCTTTATAAATAAAATCCGCCCAAATGGTACTCTATTGTTAGTTAACCAACAAGAATATATTTTCATAGTGCATATCAGAATTTGGAAGCATCAATGCATAAGTGGCTTGCATCTAGGTTCCTTCTTTTTTATTTTCTCTTGGATACTGCTACCACAAATTATTCTTCAGGAAAGTCTCTGTGTTGTAGTTGAAAGAATCTGATTTATTTACTTAGATTTGTCAGGTCCATTGAATTAAGTAGCTATAATGCATCTTCTATAGCCACTTTTATTATGCATTTCAATAGAAAAACCAACTAGATGGAGTGGTATTGGAAGGTGTCTTTGTTTGGACCTTCTACACCAGTGTTGTGCACTGCAATTCCAACTTATTAGGCTTATGTGTGGAGAACAAATTTCTCTCGCGCCACCTATTGACATTTTTTGGTTCAACTAATACCTTGGATGACACTGCTACCGAACAATCCTGGGAAACTGTATAAATTTTAATGAAATCAGAGTCCTCTAGCATATTGAACAGCGGTATCTCTGCTATTAGTTTTTTTTTAAAATTCAATAAAGATTTACCGTAGGTTAGCATGCCCTTTTTTAGTTTCATAACTGTATCCCAACTTGATCACCTCATTTAGAGGTGTTGTTGTGATTTCTCCTTCATATTCCCTTCATATTAAAAAAAAAAAAATGAAAAAAAAAAAGATCCATCTCTAAGCTCAGGTGGTGGGATGTTTTGTCCGACCCCACTTAGTGGAATAAAGGCTTGTTATTGTTGTTGTATTCCCATCAATTAAGTAGTAACAACGTATATGCCACGTCAATACCCAGGAAAGAACTTTTTTGTAGCACACAATTCTTATGTATTTACATATCTCACACCTAAACTCTCGTATTTACATGAATAGCACTCAAATCTTTAATATAACATAAAAAATAACACTTTTATCACTTTTTAAAGGCGAAACACACCTTTTCATGCATATGTTTAAGGCATCAAAGTGCTATGTATGTAAATATATAAGTTTAGGCGTGAGATATGTAAATCCATAAGAATTTTGTGCTTCATATGTAAATTTCTCTTTTTTTATTTCATATGCCTGCTGAAGAGCAGTGGTAATGGCTGCTCATTGCTCACTTTCTCCTTCAGGCTTTGTTTAGTTATGCTTTTTTCTATTTAACTTTTCAGAAAATTGTTTCATTTAATATGTAAAATATACTTAAATATCACTGTTTTGCACCATCCAATATATAGCAACCCTCTTGCACTTGCAGTTAGCATATGGACCATGGTGCTATTGGATACTAAAATCTAAAATATTGGCTTTTTTATATGGATAGTTCTAGCTGGAATTTTTTATTCTCTCTCTTTCTAGAATTATGATATTGATCAAGATGATTTTTAAGGCCTAGTTTGTGTTTATTTAAAGTTAGTGGAAAAAATTTTCAAAAGTAAGTTCATTCAGAATGTCATATTAACAGAATAGGCATTTTCCTGTCAAACTGGGTTTGTAATTTGCGAGGACTTGAAACAAATGGGAATTCTGTAAATATTGTTTAATATCTGTATGAAATCTAACTTTTTATGACAATTGAATATGTAAACAAAAAAATTAGTGCACATGCTCTTATCTTCAATTTTTTTTTTTAAAAATACCTTAGACAAATCACTGGTTCAAATGTTTTAGGATTAACTTTTGATTATTTATTTGTATTGGCAAGTAAGTTACAAAAGTTAAAAGCGTATGTGCTGGAATGAAATGAACAAGCTAAATTATATGGTGGTAAAAGGTGTCGAAAAGTTAGCCATAAATGGGTCTGCTTAATAAAGAAATTGTATTCTTAAGTGTTATATAGTCATTATTATTAGCCTTATTCCTACCATTTCAGTTTAACTTTATGTATTGGGTGATATGAAATGACACTACTATAAAATCACCTGATCAATTTATTCCTTGTAGCATATAATAAAATCAAGGCATTGGAATTTATGAGCACTACGGAAAATGTGAATGCATCTATTGTTCTATTTGGTGATAATATCGCTATTGAAGAAGATGATCTTCTTAAGCAAACTGTGGCTATCGTAGATGTTCTTGTTGGAAAGGCAAGGTGAGTACCTTTTGTTCGAAGAGTTGCTGTAAGCTATCACAAACGCAGGCTTGTTTAACTTAAACCCCATGGATTTTTCAGTTGTGTTTAAAAAGAATTAGTGTGCTGAATTATTAAAATATTTAAGGAGAGCAATGTGTAGCAATAATGATTGGTTTTTACCCCCTCTTGTTCAAATAAAAAGCTCAAAAATATACTATTGTGTCATTATATGTCTGTTAAAGGTGCCAAAATGTTAGGATTTAGACGTTTAGACCTTTACATGCAAATTCAAAATCATCCATTCGACTTGTTCGCTTCGACATTGTCAAAACAAGTGACATTACAAGATTTCAATATTTTGGAAGTTATTTTATCATTATTGAAATGCATCAAAATTTTTGCAATAAGATTTTGATGGCATTTGAAGTGTATTGTAAAATGGCTTGGGCTCAAATATATGAGTTGTTGATGATATATTGCTTGTATTAGATAATTTTACCGTTGAAAAAATCAATAAAAATAAACTTTAAAAGTACTTCTTGATGTTGTTTAATCATCATTGTTTTTTTTCACAAGCTTAATGAATGCTTATATCATCATATAAATTGATTAAATTCAATTCACATGTAATCTTTATATTGTAGTTTTGTATTGTAGATCATTTAGAGTTGTATGATCACAGAGAAGGTGATGCGGGCGTCTCCCGCAATAGGGGCGGAAGCGTACTGCAGATGCTCCGGTTCACGCCAAAGGCCGAATAAATAGGCCCATTTTCGATTCGTTTTTAATTTTTAGCGAGTTTCGTACTTTCCTTTCATTCATTTCTAATCCTTTCCTATTTATATATTGCATTAGAGTATAAATTTTAGTTTTGCTTGTGTTTCTGTCTAGACAACCATCATTGTTCAGGTTTTCACTTTCTAAGGCTGTATCCAAGGGCGAGTGGTGCTCCGTTTGTACCTCATTCCGAGATGGTGATTATCCTTGATTTTTTCCGCCTCCACAGCCGTTCCTCCACCGTCACATCTCCGGACCTACTGTAGTCGCCTAGAAACAAACCTCCTTGGTTTTTTTTCTACAGTTACCGCATTCTAACCCATCCGCCCTTTTTTCACATCACTACCACCGCTTCACATCATACTTTTCTGCTTTAGCTGCCTATGACCAGCTGTCCTTACTGTTTTACTGCAGTTTCCCCCTTCCCAAACGCTTTCCCGGCATCCCGCTTCGGTGCCATCCCTGTCCCAGCCCTCAACGTCGCACTTCCCTGTCGTAGCCCACAACTTCTTCCCTTAGTTGTTTTACTGCTTTTTCCAGCCGTACACAAGCCTTACAACATTTCATCTACCTTCTAGAAACCTTGCATGCTAAATCTGCCGTCTTCCAACACCCAAACTTTCCCATTCCAGCTTAACTCGTCGGCCTCCACCATCCTTGGGATACACTTGTAGTGTGTTTATATTTTTTTGTTATTACGATAATGTTCCAATGAATAAATTTACAGCTTTTGTTTGATATGTGGCTTGCTATAACGTAAAATGGGGAAAAATTATTATTCACGTTAAGTTGAATGAACGAATATTCAGCCAGCAATTTAAGAACGAAATGGGCAAATGGATGGGTGAAGAGAGATAGGATCAGCATTAAAAGGGAATGAAACCACCATTTTATGTTTTGTATTTTAACTTGTAGTTGATAAAATTTAACTCCAAGCCTTCCGTATGTCAGAATAAATGGAGAAATAAAAGTCATAATAAGTCAAAGTTTCCTTTGTTTTTTTCTGGAATATTTAACAGTGACCTCAGTTATATACTTTTATTAATTCTTCCTATTTCTGCACAATGTATAATTTCACTTTTTTTTATCAATATTCTATTTTTAATAGCTTTTTTTGGAAGTATAGATCTATTCCGTTTTTTTAATAATGCAAATATAAGTTTATGGGGTATAAGGGTTATCTGGTAGCGTAATTTTGAGAGGATTTAGGCTGGGTTTAATGTAAATCTAGCTAAATGCTAAAACGCGAAATTAAATCTGGTGCCCAGTTAAATTCATTTTTCTCCCCCCTCCATTTGATTTTGGATGTAGATCTGGATTTATTAAATCCAATTATTTGACAGATTTAACAGATTTAATTTGAAAATAAAGCTGTGATTATAATAAACCTGAAATAAAATGTCAAATACGTCTAACAATTTTAACTGGATTTAATCTCAATTGAACCAAACATTGTCTTTAATTTAACAGTATATGGATTTGATAAATCTTAGATTCATCAGATTTATTAAATCTTATTAAATGTAAATCCTGAGCGGAGTCAAATACCCCCTTAGTTGTAATTCATGAAATTATAAACAAAGTGTCAACGGCTTCTGATCATATGCCATCCTTGGCTTTCCTTTTCCATAGAAGCTCCACTAGGTAGAAATTTGTTTATTTTGTTTCATATTTCTATTGCATCGCCATATTTTATTCTTTCTAATGTTTTTCTAAACAAAATTGTTGCCATAAGCTTTGACTTGTGTAACAACCTCTGCTCCACTTCCCTGCTGCCAGCCGAGCTCCTCATCCCGCAGGAACCAACGCCGTTTGATCTCCAACAGACTCCATCCCACCGTTCAGCTCATAACAACCTTTTTCCTATGTCTTTATATATTACCTTTTGTATGCAACTTTACTGATTTCAGGGTATATGACAATATAAGCATTACCTTTTTCAGTCATCTTCTTCCTCCTCTCTGAAATACTTCTACAACTTGTACATTTTAGTAGACATTTTATTAAAATTTATTATTTTGAATTGGGGGATGCACTAAGTTCGAATGATTTTCTCATAAAATGTTTTGTTTTAGATTTTTCTACTGAGAATAACCACGGCAAAGTTTCTGAGGAACAGAATCCAGCCGGAGTTGCAGGGATGAATTCTGAAACTTCAGTCAAGATTGAAGTTTTGTTCTTTGCCAAAGCTCGTGAGATTACTGGCTTAGCTGATTTATCTCTGCAAGTGCCCCCTTGTTGCTCCGCTGGAGATTGTTTAAAAATTCTCTTAAACAAGTTTCCAGGGCTGGAGAAGATCTACAACTCCATGGTTTTTGCAGTTAATGAGGAATATGCCCCCGAATCTACCATTTTGAAGAACGGAGATGAGTTAGCAATCATTCCACCCATAAGCGGTGGCTAACTGTGTTACGCACTTTCATTCAATACTTGTTTTGTATGATAGCGACTTGAGATTCTTCTCACTCTTTTGTGTTTCATGGAATAAGTATGATGCTATTTCCCAAATAAAATGTTGCTAGATGTGTGCATGCTACTTTAATTATAGAATTTTTGGTCCATTTATAGCTTATTAGTCGAAGAATTTTTTTTTGGAAAACTCAAAACATCTTGTGCTGCATAGTTTTTTGTACATTTACATGTTTCTCATGCGAAGAAAGAGTTTGTTGTTTTTTTTTTAAGCTTTGGGAATTGATTATTCAGCTTCATATAGATCATTCTATAAACTGTTGGTTCTTCGTTTTTCTTGTCTGTTATCTTCGAAGTGTTTCAATGTAAGTTGTAGCCACCAGCATCAAAATTTGATGAAGTTTTGTTCTTTCACTTATTTTATGTTGTTTGTTTCAGTAAATCCTGTTTGGTATGTTCTATAGAATGCAGTTTCTATATGCCCGCACAAAGTTGTACATTGCATAATTATATTACAGAATGATGACTTTTTTTTTATCTTGGAAAAGCCATCACTAATTGTGCCTAAATTCTGTGCCCATCTGACATGCTTACTTATACACTGAGTAGCTGAATCAAATATGCAATTAAAATGCACGGGCTTCTTTTTTCTTCTCGGTTTTAGGTTGTAACTACTGCAGCCGCAGCTATGAAATATTATTTTCCAAATTTCTCATGTGATGACTTGGATGTTTTTTTTCCTAGAACTCAAGTTGATCAGAAGTGGTTGATTTCTATCGATCCACTTACCTTAGATGTGTCTATCATAGTATCATTACAACAAAATTCGTCATTTGACACAAATTTCAAAGTGATTGGCATTGATTTCAGAGCATTTTTTTTGCATGAAACATCTAAAATCAGAGAAAAATTATTCAAAACTCTGATTTCAACAAATTTATAATTAAGCTGACCGGTTCGAAGAGATTGACCCAATGACATAAAAAATACTCAAATACGGTCAAATCGAGTTCATATCATGCCATTAAATCACTTTTGAAAGCTTTTGGTTCTTAATTGGAAGGCCGATCATATTCTAAATTTGATAAGCTTATAGTTAAATCGAGCATTGTGATGAGATGAATCCAAAGATATTATTAAAGCACTCAAATATCTACAAAATATCGTCCGATTAAGAAAATCTCCTCGGCTGTCTAATAGAGTGGTTCAGATTTATTCATTATTTGCAGGAAGTCTCCCCCAGGCTCTATATATGCAGCTCTTCCCCATTCATGAAAGGGGACCGAGGACATGAATAGGGGAAAGAGCGGAAGCTAGAGCTGGATCACAAGAAGAACCTGTATTTCATTGTTGTCCTGCACTGAAGACCCGACAAATGCTTCTCTCTCTTGCAGCCGCCGACCACCATAGATCACCACTCACCAGCCATCATTGACCACTGTTGGCCGCCCCTTGCTCGTTGTAACAAAGTCCCTTATGGAGTCACAATGTATGCTACAGAGCAATGAAACACCGTGTAAAGTAATGAGCAGCCTTAGAGAGTAACGAAGCATTTTACAGAGCAACACACCCCAATAATGGTGTAACAACACACTGAAAAGAAGGTGTAACAACACACTCTAAAGACGGTATAACAACTCCCTTAAGATGGTGCAACACACACCACATTCAAGTTAGTAACACACTTCAAAGATAGTGTAACGACGCACTTCGAAGACGCTGTAATAATACACAGCAAATATGGTATAATAATGCACACCGAATACGGTGCAATGATGCACTATGTATATGGTGCAATGACGCATCTCGAAGACGATGTAATAACACATTCAGAAATAACTACTTACAAGTGTCATATTTAACATACAATGACTTTCTCCAGACTCCTGAAGTGCTCTTCTTGCTGCTTATCACTATGATATATGTGATCAACTACGACCCACGTGGCTCATAGCTCCAACAACTCCTAACTTCTGTAACATATAATCTTATCACAACTCACGTAGCTCTCAACTCCTGCCGCTGTGGGCTACGCACATTATCACAACTCATTCAGTTTCTGATTCCAGTCTCAGCAGCCTACGAACGTTATCACAGTTCATGCATCTCTCAACTCCAATCTTTGTCGCCTTTAGACGTTATAATAGCTCTCTGCTACGACCAATGTAACCCATTACGACCTGCGTGGATCATAGCTCATGCAGCTCTCAACTTCATACTTTGCGACCTACAGACGTTATATCAACTTATGCACTCTAGTTTACGAACATTGTCACATTTCATGCATCTCCCAACTCTGGCCCGTGCGACTTACGAACGCTATCACAACTCATGCATCTCCCAACTTTGACCTCTGCGGTTTACAAACATTATCACAGCTCATGCATTTCCTAACTCTGGTCTCTATGACCTATGAACATTATCACAACTCATGCAACTCCCAACTCTGGCTTCTGTGACTTAAAAAATGTTTTCACAGTTCAAAAAACTCTTAATTTTGAACTCTACGGCCTACTAACATTATTACAACTCCTTTCAATGACCTATGCAACTAATTATGACCTACGTGACTCACAACTCACACATTTCTCAACTCCGTCCTTTACTACCTATGGATGTTATTGCAGCTCCCTACTACAACATCTGTGGCCAACCAAAGCTATTGAAATAACCATTTTGGACCCACTTGGCCAACTATTACCATGACTTTCAACGACGACAATTTGTCGCTACAATCACGATCTACAACATTAACGACGAACTAATCCCTCTATTGTAATCGATTACGACCTTTACGAGTTGTTATGACTATTATTGTTTGTAAATCAACTTTATGATTCCATCTTCTCTAACACAGGGAAATAATGACCCTATGTACTCACACTTATATATGGGTTATTTCAACTGGATCAAACCTCGTGATTTTTCTCCTTTCTAGGGCTTTCCGTGTAAAAATTTATTGTGCATCTACATGTCACTTTAATTGTGTGAGTGTTTGTTGGATTTTAGTGCAATATTAATATGTTAAATAATCACTGTACTATCACAAGTTTTTCGACATACATCAATTTGACATCGTATGTGAGAAACGAAGTCTTGTTGGGCATAATCTTGAAGCCAAGGACGCTCATTTTCTACTTCATTTCCAATGATATACATCGAGATCATTTGTGAAGCATTTTTCGATATTTGTATCTAGGGGGATCCTCACTGTATTCTCAAAATGTTGTTTACATTAATGTCATGGGCACGATTGTGTGTGGGGTTTGTCAACCAGGAAGGTCGGAAATAAGACAATTACATTAGGAGTTTTCTATTATTAAGAGCTTTCTTATTTAAATTATTTTCAATATCTTTATTCTGATTTATTTCCTTTTTAGTTGAATTTTTAGATTAGAAATATGTATTATTAAGTTACCTAAAAAAGATTATTTAGAATATTTTGTACCTAAAATAGATTGTAAAATTATTATTTAATGGAATGAAAGAAAAGGGAAAAGACATTGAGCGTATTTAGAATTCAATCTATTTTTTTCAAAACTTTGACATGGTACCGTAACCATCGATAGTTGTTGGAGGACGTCAAGACTCTCTTCTTGCCTGCCTTCTTAGGGGACAAGGGAGTAACTATTTCTTTTCAATGATTCTCGCAAGTCTGCTCTTCTTCGTCTTTGTCTTGAATCTTTGTTCGTCTCCCACTTCGAACTTCCCCTCTGAGAATCTTTGTCTTTGTCTTGAATCTTTTCGGCTTGAATCTTGGGCCGCCTTCCCTTCCATTATTAGCATGTCGGCGAGTGCGGAGTCCTCGTTGGCGAGCCCAGAGCCGAGAAGCATATCACAACATGACACTACAGGGGGTGGGGGGAAGATCGTGAAATTGCTTTGAGTATGCTCCCATGTTGAGGTTTAGTGATGGTGGAAGAAGCAGATCAGGTGATGAAGGTAGCAGGGATCGACCGCCGCCTAACCTTCTTGCAATGCATGATAATCTATCGAGCTCTTCCTTCAAGAGAGCGTTCTCTATGCAAGGTGGTGCTCATCAAATGACATTTTTCCAAGCATCGGGAGTTTGCTGCAGCTATAGCATATAACGTTGCGGATCGCCGCTTACAGCCGGTGGTTCTTGTTCTTCGGGCTATCGTTCTCCGCATGTAGGATCAAGTTATTCGATCTATCTTGTTGCGCCTTCATCTATGTTCGACGATTCTGGAACCAATACTTTACCTGGTGAGGTTTCAGGCCAAGCTCCTGGCTTAACTTGAGTCGTTGTTTATCGTTCGAGTGCGAGCATTCCTTAAACAATGCTTCCATCTCTTGGATCTACCGTGAAGTGTGATGGTAGTAACTTTAATTCTTCACCGGAGCAGAGTTTGAGTGCAACGTTAGAGGTGGCGGTGTTCCGTCGTCGTTCTCCTCGCCGCAGCTTAGTCCTTCCAGATGGCCGCTCCTAGAGCCGTTCTGTAGCGATTTGTAACTCCTGAAATGAAGGCCATGCTCCGCTGCTTTCCTCACTTTCGAGCCACAAGCAAGACCAAACCAGACCCACCTCTTTGTGTTGTCATGACCAGACTGCTATATACAAAGTTCACTTCCACCTCCATATCGCAGCACAACGTCTGCCATGAAAACGACTATGTTTACCTTCAGGTGGAGTTGAGCGACTTTAAGGCTGACTGCTTCTTCGTTGCTTCATCGCTAGCTTCATCAACTGTGTTATGCGGCATTTTAGACTATTTTTCCGCCTTCAACTGCTTCCATCAAGTTTTCCTCTGACTGCTTATTGCAAGTCGAGATTGCAAGTTTTCTTTCACTTTGGCTTCATTCGCTTCAACTTCGGCTTCTTCGTCGCACTCAAGGATTGAAGGCTTTGGCACTCCTTCCTAGACCGACAACTTCGACAAACCTTAGATCTTTGGCTTCGGCACTCGCGGCTTCAACAATCTCGACTTCGACACCCACGACTTCGACATCTCGGCTTCAACACTTTTGACGTGAAATCAGAGAACAAATCTTCCTCGTCATCGCAGGAAGAATCAATAACATTTGGATCGTTTAATAGAACGCGAATCCTACTTGTGGGCTATGATCAATAACATTTAATCAGGACGTGGATCTTACTTGTAGGCTATAATCGATAA